CCATGCTATATATAGTGTCCTGCATATCCTTGTAGATATCTTCACACTTTTGAGTTATATTACAACTTGTACCTGCTAACAACTGCCAATAACTCTTAGATAAATTCTAAAGTCCAATAGTCTTACACTCTATTCTTTTCCTTCACACTACACATCCAATCTTTCCAGTGCAGAGATCGTAGCTTCTTTTCTTTCCGGATTGTTGCTCTTTTCACTTCATTCTTTGTTTGAGTTTCTTTGCAGCATACTTCCTTTCCGTTTCTTTCTATTCTTTCTTAGTTTTTATCTTTTTTTTAAGATATAAAACTTTATTATTATCATAATGGCAGTTAAACTTACTTAATAACAAGTTTATAACTCGAGTATTCGTTATAGTAAAGTTAAGATACAGGGCTTAAGTTTTACACGAAATTAACGACCAGATATTAACAGTTTTGAAAATTTCTTCTGCATCGCTTCACTTTTCTACTCTAGTTAATAAAATTTACTTAAAATTATCTTGGTGACAATTGATGGAAAAAAGGGAGAAAATTTTATAATTTAATCTTCATTCATCTTCGTTTCTGTCCATTATATATTTTATTACAGAATATTAATTCTCTTACATTTTCTAAAAAAAAAAAAAAAAATTAAAATTTGTTCGTTATGAAAACAATTTCATTAAATTTTATTCTCTTGTGATTGACAAAATTACGAAGAAAAATAAATTAAAAATTCTAGATTTAATCCCTAAACGTAATTTTAAAAGAAATATTTGTAACGATAAAGTTAAAATATTTTATAAATAAAAGTGAATATATTTAAAGAAATATTGAAAATTAGGATTACAATTTAAAAATATTCATTAAATAAAATTCTATTAAAAATAATCGTATTTTAAATATTAAAACGTAAGCTTTATCTTTAAGAAAAATTTGTATTATTTTAAATAAATAAAAATTTTTACGCTTTTAAAATATTAAAAAGCGAAAGAAGTTTAATAGGAAGAAATGAATACTGTATGAGTTCGATATTTTTATATATAAAAGAAAAAAATGCAGTTTATTTTACTTATACTTCCACAACTCACTCAACATATTGGATAAATGGAAAAAACCTTCATTCTTTTATGCCAGTGGTTTTGACAGAGAATAATAGATATTATGATAGATTAAATATCGAATTTTTTTAACTCTTTCTTTTGATATATTATTTTTACATTTTAAATTTTTCGTGAACTAATGATTGTAGTTTGCAAGTAGTTCAACGATTTAAAAATAACAAAGAAAGATTCATTAAAATTCGAAAATTTAAAGCGAAATTTGAACTAATATATATTTAATCACGAAAAATCACTTTTTGTTTACTCCTTTCCTGTAATTTCATCTTGAGAACGTTTGAAATCTTTGTATTATTCATTAAATATTTTAAATGCAGGCGATCGTGATCTACTAGTTGGAAAAGTATATTTTAATATTCCTTATAAACTTATAAATTTATTAACTTCCATTAAAGTAAAGAGAGAAACTAATTTAAAAAAAGTTTGAAAAACAATATGTTAAATTAATATAATTTTATTTATTTAAAAATGTTAGATTGTTAAATTCGATATTTTTAAAATAAGCAAAAGTGTAAATTAATATAAAATATCTGTAGTTTAAAAAAAAGTAAGTAGATGTTGAATTGTTAAATTCAATTGATAAAAATAAACAAAGAATTGAAATTTTTAAATTGTGAAAATAAGATGAAGAAAACTAAATGAATAGAGAAATTTAAACTGATCTACAGAAGAAAAGAAAAATGAATTGGATGAAGAATGCACAAATTGAAAATCTTTGAATAAACAAACAAGATTGTCTGTCCTATTTTTCTGTTCTAAATTCTTTCCTATCCTTTTAAAAAGATTGATAATCTAAAGTCTAAACAGAAAACAAACAAACAGAAATTTGCACATTGTTACAGAATAAATATCACTTTTAACAGTAAATAACTATGTTTTTTTTTTGTTTGTTTGTATATAAAATCTATAAGAATACTGTAATAAACTATAAAAATTTTTAACAATAGTTTTAAAATCAACGAAGCTTTTAAAAATAGTAAATATTGTAAATGGTGACAGAATTCGATTTAAAATAAAATAAAATAAATTAATATCATTTATCAAAAGAAACTTTTTTTAAAAAAAAATCTCTAGAAACAATGATGAAGCTTTAACGAAAAGTAGGTCGCTGTAGTAAAAACAAGAAAAAATTTTTTTTCCTTTAATGTTATTTAATAGAAATTGGAAAGCATTGATCATAAATATTGTTTAAATTTTTTTTAAAAAAATAAGGTTATAAAACCAAATTATCAAATAAATCCGATTAAGGAAAAATTACAGTAAAATCAAGAAATAAACTTTAAAAAATTTGTATAAATATAATCCTAAACCCAAATATAATTTTAAAACTTTGATTCTGGGTAATAAAATAATAAATATTGATGAGAAAAAAATTATTTTTGAAGCTGAATAATTGAAGTGAAAGAAAAGGAAGGGGAAAAAATTGAAAAGATTACATTAGTACGATAAGAAGTTATCTTTAGTCATTTTGGTGATTTTATCTTCAACTAGCACCATTTCATTTAAGAATATCGAATTCTCAGGTGGTTATTTTGTAACTTGGAAATCTTGTAATGCAGATCTTAAATTTATATTAAAATATTAAACTAGAAAGATCTTTCACGCGATAAAATATATTTAAAAACTAATTTGTTATGTAATTTACCTGGTCTTGTACTGTGTAAAAAATTATCTGATAAAACAGCGATTTTTATTGCCTAATTAGCATTTTCAAATTACCACATTTAACATTATCAGGCAAAGTTCAAATTAACAGTCGAGAAATGGCTTCTTACAAGCATTTAATTTTATTTTTTATTGATGACAAGTTTAGAAATAATGAGAATTTTTCATTTTTCTACGAGATTTTAATTGCTTGATTAAGAAAAACATAATAAAGAAATAAACGATTTGTTTAAGAATCATTCCTCAACAAAAATTTTTATTGTATTTTGAGAAAAAAAAATCAAAATTTTTCATTTTGTGAAGAAGTTATTTTAATTATATTCGAATAATTTTAATTAATTTCAAGTCAGATTTGTTAATTGGTATAATTAGTATATTTGCAAATATGTACTATATTCTATCGTCAATAACTTCGAAATTTCTTTTATTTTATAGTAGTTTTCTTTATTTAATATTTCATAAAAACAAGACAAAAACGTTTTTACGTAAACCTTATTAAATACATAGTATAAGCATCATTTCTTTCTAATCATACATTTAAAATATGTTTTTACTCCTTCAGTATCTGTAAATTTATTCTTCGACCTTTATTCCTTTTCTTAAAATCATTTTCCAAAGCATTTCTTTTCTATTTATTTTACTTCCTTTAAGGAATTTCTTCTATTCTGCACTTCTTAAATCAACTCCTCAATTTTGCTTCCGCTCTTTTTATATATTTTAAGTTTCAACACTAATCTAACTCTCTTTTTTTATTATTATTTTAAAATTCGTTTTCTATAATCCCTTTTACGGTTCTTACATTTGTAACTGACTATCCAATTTACTTTTTTCTTTCCTAAATGCATTTAAAATACATTTAATCTCTAATATTTTTTAAAGAAACAAAAATTTACATTAATAAACATGAATTTTTTTCTTAATATTAAGAAAAAAAAATGGAAAAAACTTAACTTTTGTTTACTAAGAAAGTGACTAAACGAATATAAAAAATAACGGTCTACAGCAATTAATAATATTAAGAAAAAAAAATGGAAAAATAATACTTTTACTTTCATAACCGATTTATCCTAAAGGGATGTTAAAAGTAAGAATTTTTCATTTTACGATTTTGCTTAATGGATGTTCTCTAATCAAGTAAAATGCCTTGAGCTGTTGAAGTGTTGTTAAATACGTATTTTATCTTTTGGTTTATGCTCTCTTGAGAACTACAATCGAAAGCGTAGCAATTTACAATCTTTTCTAATTAAGGATGTTTTGTTGACTCATTCTTCAGTTATAAAACCACTTGAAGTCATTACAGATGACAAACTTTTATTTTGACATCTGTATTTAATTCATAAACAAAGTTATACTTTTTTTTAAATCAAAATTATCAAAGTCTCCGGGCTGTAATCAGTTGAAAATTATGATAACAAACTTACTCATCCCGTTGTTTTTAACTTTTTAAACCTTTGTTATTATTCAACTTGACAGAATTTGTGATTTTAATCTTTCTTTCGCCATCGACCTATTCGTATATATATATATGAAGAAAGAGTGATTTATGTTACTATAATAGCAACCAGTAATGTTAACATATAAATAACATAATATATAGAGGATATAAATAACTAATAATAACAATAATAAATATAAATTAATATTAGTAAACTGATATAAGAAAATATTAATTTATTGTTATAACAGATAATAGAATAAATATACAAATATAATAATGCCAACTTTTTAAACTAAATATTATCAGTTATAAATTATTGAACTGAGATATAAAAAGTTAAGACTATACCAGTCGACCCTCCTATAACATTGTTGATTATTCCGTTTTATATGAATTCCATGTTGTACGAGTCACTTAGATCTTACAAATACGTGTACCGGGCTATGAACGGCTCACGTATTTGTAAGATTTAAGTGACTCGTACAACATGGAATTCATATAAAACGGAATAATCAGCAGTGTTATAGGGGGTCGACTGGTATTTGTTGTATGCAATTAATCATTGTCATTTAAATTTATGTATATTATTATTATTATTATATATTATAGATAAAAAGAATAAATTTAATAAGAGATATTCAAATATTTCAAGTGATGATTAATAGTTTTGAATAATTTATAACATATTTTAGAAATTTTTTGTGGTACTTTTATATGGTAATCATTGTAAACATTTGTATTAAAAAATAGCAATTTTTAATTTTATTTAAATTGTTTTTTGTTCTTTTTTCAGTTGGAAGGGAAGGTATCTATCTACCAGTAATGTTGTATATACATGGAGAATCTTATGAATGGAATTCCGGAAATCCTTATGATGGAAGTGTATTGGCAAGTTTTGGAAATGTGGTTGTGATCACTTTTAATTATCGTCTTGGAGCATTAGGTTGGTATTTGCATGAAATCGTTATTTATAATTATTATTTAATACTTTTAACAGATAATATAAATTATACAAGTTTATTTGATAAATACAATAAGCTATAGATTTTACGAAATATGTAAATTAACAAAATTTTCAAAATTAATCATCACACAATACATTTAAATTATATAATTTTTATTTTTTCGGTCATTTACGGTGGAATTATTTTAATAAATTATTGCAAAGAATTATAAATAAAAAGTGCTGTATAAATAGCATTAATTTATGAAAATTAAGACTTTAGTTTTGTATAAAAACATTAAATGATATTTTTCCCCCTTCATTATTAATATTCTGAATAAAAACAATAGCTTTTTCAGTTCATTTCTTCAACGTGTTCTTTCAACGTTTCTTTTATATTTATTTAATTATTTTGTCAAAAATAATTTAAGCAAAGTTTAAAACTTATTTCTTTTTTATTTTAAAATCTTTTATTAAATCTTTTGTTATCACAAATATATTCATTTTATTGATCGTCTTTCTAGTTTAAAATAATTTTGAAAATATAATATAAGTGAATTCAATATAAATATTTTATAAATATTAAATTGTAGAAAATACAGAAATTACTATTTAGGAAATTTTCTACCTTTTTTTTAATAGTAAAATTATAAAGAAATAACGCTTAAATATTTCTGAAAATTGAAAGAATTCTTATTAGTCTTTCTTATTCGTGGATTTTATCTTTTATTAGTTTCGTATTGAAAGATGAAAACAAAAATAAATCCTATGATAATCATTTAACGGGCGGTTAACCATTGCCTATTACGTAGTAAAGATATTTTTCGAGAGCATGTACATTAAAACCTATTTAAGATGGAGATTGAAAGGATCAAAGCGAACTTCCGCTTCATGGAAGGAGCTTAAAATTCCAATTTTTGAAATCTCCAGTTAAGACATTATGGCATTTCATAGTTTTCTCAACATATAAATTTAAATCGCTTTATAATCTTTTCAAAATAAATTTTCTAGTATTATAAACATATAAGTTTGCTTTTAAATATTCATTTAATCATTATAAACTGTTAGTATATATAGAGCGTTAGGTAATGACTCGTTTTGTTTTGTAATTCTAAAATGTATCAAGTGAAATCTGTCCAAAATGGAACCCGAATAAAAATGAAACCTGCCTAAATGGAAAAATTCTTCCAAACAGAGAAATTTTTTATGTTTAAAAAAATAAAACCTGTTTAAAACGGAAACTTTCCAAGCCAGAAATAAATATTCGGTACCGTGCAATTACGGTTTACACAGGTTTAACACGGTTTACACAGGTTTACACAGGTGTTATAGAGTTAAAATTAAAAGCAAGATATTTTATTTCTGTAAAGAAATTATAAAATAATTTGTCTTATTTTTAATAATTAACTAATTATGACAACTTGGTCTTGGAATAATGACTATTTATTAGGTTATGATAAGAATTCACTGTTTAAATATAAAAGAAATTTGCATATGCTTTTAATACAAAAATGTTATAATTATTACAGTTATTTTAGCTAATTTATTAAGTATCAGATTAAAATAGTAAAGACAGTAGAGGCCTATAAACAGTTTTATATTGGGTGTAATTCTGATTACCATGTTTCTTATAAATTTATGTAAATTAATTAAAATGTGTAGTTAAAAATAATTTTCATTTGTAAACAAGTTGTTACAAAAATCACATTTGTTTGATTAATACGTAGTATATTATAGATAATATACAATAAACTCTACTCATGTTTAATCATGTTTCTAGGTATAATATATATAATTCTTATTAACTAATAAATCATTTATCATTGCTGTTATTGCATTCAGTTTTCTAAAGTAAGATAAGAGTTGTCATGTTATTTTTTCCATTTATTACGAGTATTCTGATTAAATTTATAAGACAAAAACTTAAATATCTGATTAAACTTATTTAAATTCACAAATCATCGTTATTCATTTTAAAATAATTTCTTAAATATGAAAATATAATTGCGAAAAATTTTAAATAAAAAAAATATTTACATTATTATAGATAGATTTCTTGAAAGTAGAGAATTCTAAAGGTTATTTCAATAGAAGTACTTAATTCAGAATTCAGAATCTAATTAAGTGTTCTGGACTTGATTTTATTTTTTTATTTTTGTTGTCTGGAATCTTTAGTTTTGTTGTTTTCTCACTTCGTTTCTAAACGTATTACTTTATCTGGATAATTAATGCCATTCATTATTTTTTTCTTCACACGTTTACTATTTTCTATCAATTTTTACAATCGATTCTTTCAGACTGTTTTAAAAATAAATGACATTTTTTATGTGATTAAAACAAACTAAATTAATGTAATTGAGATATATTCGTTTCAATGAAATATTAATGATAGATAACTAGAAATAAAAGTAATTTATTTCATTTTTTTCGAAAAAATAAATAGTAAAATTTTTTAAATATGTAAATATTATTTTTATGTATTTGCTTTATATTAAATTTTATTCTTTAATTAAAGATTGCTTTAAGCTATTTTTATATAAATTATGAATTTGTAAGTAAAACAAATACAGGAAAAAATTTATGATAAATTAATAAGTTCTTAAATAATAAAATATTTTATTAACTGAAATTAATGGCATTTATTATATTAAGCTATAATATTCTAAAAATTATAATTTTTATTCTTATTTCTGTCTTCAGTAAGTAATTTAGATCACAGACTGTGAGATAACATAAATTTGTGATGAATTTCATAAATAATATGTTTTCAGAAAACAATTAATAGAATAATCTTAATATTATTCTTATTTTAAATTACAATTTTAATCTTGTTAAATGTAAATTACTTTTTCTTTACTAGTTTTGATTGTATAACGATAAAAGTAAATAACTAAAAATATTTTATTTTAATATAATTATTTATAGTCATGAAATTAAAATATTTTCTTCAAGTGTACATATTCTTTCCAAGTTTATTCCAATTTTGAAAGCATTTCCAATTAAAATACGATGTATAAAATATATTTTAATAATTCACTATCTATATTTATTCGAATAAAATAATTCTTTTAGCTTTCTATAAGTAATGTAAAGATTATATTAATAATAAAATGTTTATATTTTATTTTACGATACAAAAATTTAATTGGAATGTGTAAACTTTTGAAAATTCGGTGTGTAAATCTTAGTACATGCTTCAGTTATATTATTATATTATAAAAATTGAATAAACAGGCTAAAGTAGAGATACCAACACATCAGTTTGGGACTTCTCTGTGTTTCGAGCCTCCCAAACTTCCAAATCTCTAGTGTACGTAGATACAGAGAGCCTCCAAAATTTAAATTTTTATGACGGATCAGTCTTAGATTTATTTTTCATCCTAGACACTACGTAAATATTCCAACTAACTTGAACATAACCTAACAGTTAAGTAAGAAAAAAGGTGAGCAATCATCCAACGTAAATTATTTTTACTTTATATTAAAAGTAATTTTTATAACGTATACAGTATTTATATTTTTCTTCCTCCAAAATTTGGCCATTCTAGGCATATTCGTAAAGTGCTAATGGATAGACTGACTCTGTTTTTACACACAAAATTATGACATAAAAGTAATATAAATTAAATAAAATTTTATAAATGATAAAAAATCTATTTTTATGGTTTTCGGAGGGGAGAACACTTAAATTTGTGACTCACTCTCTCTTCTTAATCTTTGTAAACAAATATTTACGATTATTATATACAATATTTAACAATTAAAACATTAAGAATACCAATCGACCCCCCCTATAACACTGTTGATTATTCCGTTTTATATGAATTCCATGTTGTAAAAGTCACTTAGATTTTACAAATACGTGAGCCATTTACAGCCTGAGACACGTATTTGTAAAATCTAAGTGACTCGTACAACATGGAATTCATATAAAACGGAATTATCAACAGTGTTATAGGGGGGTCGACTGTAGTTAGGTTCATTCTTCAAAGAAATGTTTGTTAGAACTTAATTTCAACTCAAATGATTGTAATTACATCCGTCAATGATCTCACAATTCTGAGAAATATAATGATGACGTTAAAGTTAGTGTCGTCATTATGATGTCAAAAATTCACATTCTTTTAATTTAACATTAAACATTTTGACATTAATTATCTGAATTAACAAACATTATTATGGTTTATTTATTGTAATATTTATTTTAATAATGTGTAATCTTAGAAAACTTCAGATACAATCTCTTTTTAAATTGAATTTAAATATCACTAAATATCTATAAATATGTAAATTTATATTTTTCAGATTACAAAATTTTATATCTTCATTTAAGTTTAAAATAATTGCAACTGGATATTAGCATAAATTTTCTAATTATTTACTTAATTACAGTGAACAAATAAGTTTTTATATAGAGAATATTAAATGTATTAAAAATGAAATTTATTTGAATGTCATTAAAAATCTTCTAAATGTCGTGAAAATATATTATTTATATTATCAATGACATAATCTTAATTTTATAAAAAGTATAAAAAATGAAATGAAATGAAATTTTCTTTTTTAAGTCATTTAATAACAATATAAAGACAGTTTAAAATAAAGAATTTTGTCAATCAAAGTCATTTCTTTTGTATAAATTATAAAAATTTTCTTTTTAAAATCGATTCGATTTAAAAAATCTGATGATGTTTTATATCACAATTAAATAGATTTAGATTTTAAAATAAAATTCAAATTTATATTTAGGTGAATTTAATTTGCAAAACTTTCATAAGTTTTCACATCAAACTGTCAATTTACTTTTCTTTGTTCCAATTTTTAACTATTATTTTTCTTTTATTTTCTTTCTTTTTTTTTCTATTTTCAATTACTTTCAGAATCAAATTTCGTTTTCATTTTCTACCCTCCAACAACTTTTTACCAACCATTTGAATAAATTTTTTACTTAAATGTCTTCATTCTTACTTAATAAAATTTAAAATATACTTCTTTTAAAT